GTCTGAGCGAGAGAACACCTGGGGCTGATGATCTGGTATTACGGACATCACAAGGGAACTGTTTATCTTGAAATAATCAGCTAAGGACTATTCTGTATGAGTCATGGTTTGAAAGCTTCCATCTACCTCCATTTAGAAAAGGATGAAAAAGTTTCTGCAGACAGCCGTTTCAGTGCTGACAGGGTGTGTCACTATTTTTGGAATATTTCTACTGTGTACAGGCAAAGCAGTGCTCTCAGTTTGCACATAACAGGCCCCAAGCCGCTGAGTCAGCATCCCCGCCAAACTTTTGGCCGAAGTTCATGATCTTCATATTTGCACCGCTTCATTCAAGCTGGACTTCTTCCTTTCTTGGCTCCTGTGTAAGGCAGAGGTGAAAAGGAGGGGGATAGGTGGCCTTCATCAGCCAAATGGCTGCAACTGTATGTGGAAGCCAGCAGTTCCTTGGCATTTCACAGTGTAGGGGCAACTCCTCCTGCCAGGGCTGACTTTGCTTTTTCCCCACTCCAGCCACTGCCCACAATTCACCCTGTCCTGCAAAGTTATGCCAAAAAAGAAGGGAATGTGCCATCGTGAAACCCTCAGCTACCATCCAGGGCAACCCAGATGGACCCTAACTGTTAGTCTTGCAGCCTAGGGTGCAAACTCAGGATTGCTCCCAAAAATAATGTTAGACTTATCCAAAGTTTCTCCTCCATGTGATATTACCCATCTGGTGTTTCAATCAAGTTCACGTTTGCTCTTCTCCTCACAAACTGTGCCTAACTGAAGGCCTGTCTTTGTGAGACATTTAGAGGTATGAACTTGCAATACTCTTGTCAACTTTCATGGTGAGGGTGTCAGGTGGTGGTGAGTGCAGGGTGTCTGACTGTACTTTCAGGGAAGAGTAGTGAGTCCCATGCAAATGCCATTTAATAAAATCTAAGCTTCATACCAGAGGAGATGGTGCAAATTATCAGATGGGCGACAAATCCACACTGGCTTATGGCATGCTGACTTTCCTGAGAAGAACAATCTAAGTGTATTTGTACTCTTGCTTTTCTACATCCAATAACATTCTCTTTTCTTATCAGCCTCAGGCATGAATGTTTATTGGATTGTCACTAGGTTGAAAACTTAGAGCTTGGAACAGCTACATATTGTCTCTTGAGATGCTGCTTTCAGATGTGTGGGAGTCAGTCACCTTTACATGGAAATGTAAGTAAGATACTTACATTCCCTGTGAGGAAACTGCTTAGTGCGTTACAAAGAACAGAACAGTAAAAGAGAGAGCAAGCACCAAAAGCAAATGTGTATGACTAGAACACTTTGTGGCTTTTGCAGTGGAAACAATACCGCAGAGATAACAGTGGCTGCAAAGAAACATCCCATTGTCACAGCTGCATTCGTTCCTCTGCTCCTTGTGCAGCAGAATATGGAGAAGTCTAGCAATGCAGTGGTCTAACCAGAGGCCAAGTGTCCTCAGCCGTGGGCTGACAGGCCTAACTGAAGACAGGTCCAGCACCACCATACTTTCCTGTCGGTGCCCTGGTTTTTTAGCTGGATTACGTTGAGCCCAGCAGCGTTACTTCCTGCGTAACGGGTAGGAGAGAGGGTGTCTGCAGCAAGCAGAAGAGCATGATGGTTATCTGCAGGCCTGGCAGATCTTGCCTCGTCCTGCCCAGCACAACTTGGGACAGTGTTTGGGCTGTGGCAGCACACGGCTGTAAGCAATAGTTCTCACCGTGCCTGTCCTGCTCCTTGGGGAGCATCGCCGCTTGGTGCGGGGGCTGCTCCACCAGTGCTCCCTGCTGTAGCTCTTTTCAGGACATGCATCCCACACCACATTGCTGAAGGTACATGCTGGTCTGCAGAGCTCCTCTGTGGCAGTAGCCCAAAGCTTCTGTGCTTTCCAGAGATACCCATTTGCCTTCAGACACCCTCTCCTTCATGCTTTCCCTTGGGGGGGGAAACAGGGACATGAGCGCAGGGACTTCCAGTGCTTCACTCCCACTAACATCCAGAAAATCCTTTCCTTCTAAAATGGGGATTGAAGCTGTCCTGGTTCTGGCAAGGATAGAGTTAATTTCACAAGGAGCCAGGACAGGTGA